TCATTCATTCATTCATTCATTCATTCATTCATTCATTCATTCATTCATTTGGAAATGGAGGACATAATTGCATATCCTAAAGAAGAGTTTAGTCTTGAAATAAGATACAAATAGGATAAATAAATGTCATAAATGCTCTAATAAATTAGCTGAGTTTTGCAAAAACTTGACATTAACAATCTTATATTTATGCTTTTCTCTGGGTTTTTAAAAATTATTTGTTAAGAGAGAAGAAAAATACATTGTCCAATGTCTTCAAAGAAAAAGTGCAATGTGTATAGAGGTCAAAGAAATCATCATCATCATCACCCCTAACTTTGTATGGGTTTATACATAGCAGTTTTTTGCTAGCAGGAGGAAGAAAAAGCTTCTAAGCCACAAGCCAACATCTACGCTTGGCACCTGAAGGTCAAAAAGCCCTGTCATAACAGCTGGCATTTCTTTCTAAATTATTAAAGTGCCACAACTTCCCTCCTTATTTACTAAGTTTACTTTAGAACTTGTTTCCCAGGTAGGACAGGCGAACGCTTGATGGGCAGGAAATGTTCAAAAGCTCCCCAGCCGGCTGATTACACAACCTCCAGGCAGTTCCTTTTCCATCAATCAACCTTCCTTCTTCACCACTCCGCTGGACGTGCCTTCCCTTTGCTCACCCTCAGTTGTAACTTAGGGTGTGACAAGGAAACAGGCAGGTGCAGCAATAATATGCTTCCAGCTTTTTCCCACCAGCTAAAGCTATTATTTGTGCAGTGGGCTGAAGTTGTCATAAAGATTTGCAACTGGCTGAAGGGTGGTTTTGGAGAGTCCTAGAAATTCACAAAAATGATGCTGATGCGGATTGGCTGCAGGGGTGAGTATTCTTTACATCCCATTCTGTCCCATACTCTACCTTGGTTTTTTCTTTTCTTCTTGTTTTTCCAATCAGCATTTCTAACAGAGCTGACTGTTTTGTTTTGGGGTTTTTTTTCTTTTAATAACAGAGCTTCAGTGGGCCCTTCCCTCCAAATTTACTAATATATCAAATATATTAGCAGCACAGCACAGCAGCACAGCAAAAACTTCTTCCTTCAGGACAGCGTTACAGAGCACCATATGTTAAAACATCTAGACATCGGAAAAGTTTTTTCCCTTGTGCCATTGCTCTGTTAACTATATGACTTGATATATACTGGACAGTGGCTTCTCCCTTTGAAAAAGTTATTTTACTGAGCAGTGTTATTGTTACTGTTTATTATTTTTCTGTTGCTATCCAAACGCACCGTTGAT